GCAAACTGCTCATCTTCCCAAACCTCCATAAGAAAATAAAATCTCCCTAAATTTTGAACATCTTTGAGGGCTACCATCCTAGAGGGTAACTGTTTATTATATTCAGAATATAATCACCCTGTTCTTTATTTTCTTTTACCCCAGGAATGTTCCTAACTCTTCATTTATTTGCAGGAGAGGAGTGTTCCTTCCTGGCTTTGCCTTTCTTTTTCACTCTGTAAACAACTGCATCTCTCTTAGGCAGCATTTTCACTTTCTTTCACTAGATTAATTCGTTTTTGTTTCCGGATGCCTTCTGATGTCTTCATATCACCTTGTAATTTGGGAGATTTAAAACTGGACACAAAGTTCTGAGAGAGGCTTTTCAGACTTCATCTTTAGTTAAATCAATATGCCAGTAGGGAGGTTGAACTTAGGTGAAATTATTTTTCTAGCAGAACTAGAATTTGTACCCTTATGGTCCATAGACTTTTGTTGATGCCGTGTGGACGGAATAGGAGCCACCCTGGTTTGTGTTGGGGTGGGAAGGGTGCCTCCCTGCTGCGGGCTGCTCTCCCGTCCCGTTGTCAGCTATTCAGGGCAGCAGGCGTTAGGATTTGGGGGCCCTTTTCGGGCATCTGAGTATGGCAGGGTTCTCTTATCTTTGTACTTTTTGAATGTGTGAGATATTTCTGCCATCCATCATTTTAGCCCGCACACACTTCTGGGGGGCCTTTTATGTGTCTGACACCATCCTCAGCTCTTATTATTCTGAGGAGCCTCTTGTGGTGTGTCGGCCAGGGGATCAGAGGAGGTGATTGTCTGCAACTTCTAAACACTGTGCAAGATTTCCCACCCACGAGCCAAAGGGATGGGCCTGCCTCCCTCTCTCTCTCTTCTCTCTCTCTCTCTCCCCTTCTCTCCCCCGCTTTCCATCTCTCATGTCAGGCCCCACGAATGGGGGTAGATATCAAGCAGAAATAAAGAACTTTTCTGCCCTCCTTTTTCATTTTACAAGTCCCAGTCCGCTTTTAGGTGTGAACTTGGTAGGTTTTTCCGTCACTGGCAGTGGTTCGATGTTAAAAAGTTGTTAAAAACAAGTGAAAATTCATCTCTTTAATTCAGCAGCTGTCAAAACCCCGGCTAGGGCCAGGGACCCTGGAAGGTACTGGGGATAAGACCAGAGTAAGGAAGGAATTCTTTTCTTACAGAGCACAAATTCTCATAGGAGGTGATTGAAAAGTACCTTAGGACTTAGTACAGCATAATGCAAGTCACACTGTAAGAGACGTAGGGTCAATGAAAGAAGGGCCAGAGAGGAAGAAGTTTAATTCTGGGTCGAGCACAAGGGAGATTTAACAACATCCATCTCTGCTTCATGCCCAGAGAACATAAACCTCATGGAAGTGCTGTCTCTATTTCTGCCTGATCTGTTTCACCGTATTGACGTGTTTTTGTCATTCTTTGCCATCCCCAAGGGGGTATTCTCTGAGGTCCCATGCTAAAGGGTGCTGAGCAGAATTGAGGTTAGGGGAACTGGATATGTGGATAAGTAGCAAAGCCAGTACGAGGTTCCTGTTCCTGCTTTGCACAAGCTTATAGAAGGAGAGGCCAGCGTGCAGGCATTAGGATTTATTTTGTTCCTTTCCCCAGTGATTATATTGATAGTGAAATATCTTTGTCTGAGTACTCCAGCAATATAGCTGTAGGCGCCATAAAAATGCATAGATAGATGGCTACCAGTTCAATTAAGAGGTCTCAATCCAGCCTCCTATATGAAAACCTTGTCTATTTTAGGTTTAAATTTCTGCTCATAAATTTTTTAGAAACCAAAAGAAAAATTGCTTCTCAAGGTTAGGTTGAAGTCTAAGGTTCCTTAAACAAAAAGCAAATCCCTAGACAGAGAAAAGAAATTGATAACCCTAATGTACTTTCTCACAATAACATTTCCAACTGCATCATTTAAAAACATTTTAAATAATATTCTCTTTATTGGAATATACAAATCTTCTGGCTTTCAACCAAGGAACCAGAGAAAGGCAATGCTATGGGGGGGCTCAGGTCCTTGAAGGGTGTCCAGTTCTAGGCAGGTGGGTGTTTTTCCTGGGGCCTCTTTCAGGTGGTGGGAATTAACTGACCATGTGATAACTGTCCCCAAAAGTAAGATGTAAAGTTACCCTGGCTTCTGACAGGTCTCTACCAAGTATGTAAAAGAAAAAAGGAAATTAATTGTTAACCTTCATGATGGTGTTTTTTTTAATGCAAATGCTTAAGAAAGAGATCTTTCATTTGCATCAATTATGTAAGGGTGGAAATTTGTAATTCTGGTTGTCTGATTGGCTCCATACTCAGCAGCATCGGGGACCTTTTGCAATACCAGAGCAAGTGTACATGCCTCCTCAGCACTGGGACCGGGTAATTTTGTTCCTCGTTGATTCAAAAAAGAAACGGCATTAAATGGCCCATGGTAGGAAATAATGCTTGAAGTTTTTTAATCACATAACTTCTTGTAGATCTTTGCCTATCCCTTAAGAGGATGGTGTATCTAAGTATGCAATCCTCGGGTCAGTAACAGTGTCTCCAGCTTTTGAGTAAAACTGGAGAAATTAAATTCCGTTTTCAGTTTGGCTAGATGCCTCCTCCAGTGTTTGTATCTGAGCTTTCACAAGAGAGCTGCGGCCCCTTTCAGACCAACTCTGAGCTATTTTCCTGTCGCTCAGTTGTTTGCTGTTTGCTTGCTTCTTTTTCTGTGGCTTGGAATTTTAAACTTTCTTTGAACATACCTAGAGCCATCTTTTGTTGCTGTTCATGCTTTCGATAATTACGCTATCTTTCTGTAAATATAGGGTGGCGAAACAAATGTAAAAGAAAATTTAAAAGAGCAAAGAAGTCCACTTTTAGATTATTAAAACAATTTTTTTGATCTCTCATTATTTTTACCTTAATATTAATAGGTAAACAACAGAAAAATAATTGGCTATGGTATATTTAAATTAATTGAGATAAATTTTTTTTTAATCTGTTCACAAAGAAGTGATTCATCATAAAGATATTACACCTAGAAAAAGAACAGCGGCCAAGCTATCATATGGAAAGCTGGGTTTGCTAGTCTGATTCCAAAGAAAATGTTCTGTTTGGCAAAATTTTTCTGTGTCTATTTTGGGACATGATCAGGAAGAATTTTAACTTTCCCTAAAACAAACTTAGATAATGTCTTTAATTTTAATTGTGGATATTAATGGCTTAAAATTTTCCAGTACAAAAATAATGAAAGTATGCCTTTCTCCTAAAACATGTTGAATTACTTCTAAGAATATTTAATTTGTAATTTTTAATGGCAAAATTACAAGATATTCTCCTAGAAAAAGGGAAAGTAATTATGCCATGTTTTAAAATCATTTGCTATAAAAGTAATATTAATTTATGGAGTTAAAATTTCAAATATGGTCCAATATAAATTTGCATTCCAATTTTCAGTGCAAACCTTGTATTTAACTTTGTGGTTCATTCTGAAGGATTTTCTAAAGTTTTTTTTTTTGATTTATAATGCTTTTTGTGTCTTTACTATGGCTGTCATTACATTTTGATAAAAGCTATCATTTTGCCAGACTTGAATAAAAATTCAAGTTTTCACATCTTTTGCTATTTGAACTTTTGAATCAGCTTAAAATGTTTGTTAGAGTCACCAGCTTAAGAGCATCTGAAAATTTAAAAATAGACGTTTTAAAATAGTACTTCCCAATAATTAAAATCTTCATTTGCCTAAAAGCAGGGAGTCTTCCTAAAGTAATAAATTAGTGCTTCTCGACCTAGGGTCACTGGTAGTGCTACTTCTTTTTGCAATATCTGCAAGAAGGAGGATGGAAAAGCTATAACTCTGTTGAAACAGAAGTAATATTTTTCAGTTTAATCCCAGTTAAGTGTCATGACCTTTTTGGTCTTGCACTGAACTTCTTGCTGAAATGTGGTCAAATTTCAGTCAGCCTGTCCTAACCCTATGAAGGCAAGGTAAAGTTTGGATCCAGGTTTTCCACAAATACAGAGGTTTTCTGAAAAATTTTTGGGTTTGTTTTTCGATAATGTTATATACTGTTTCAAGTAACAGAAAATGCTTTACATAAAAAATTCTCTCCTTGAAATATTTTGCCTGATATTTGTCTCCTCTTCCCCCGACCATGTCTGCTTACTTCCAATTCTGTGAAATTTTTTGATCTAGCTTAATTTTATCTCATTTTAAAATTAAATGTTATTTTATTTTACATGATCCCATTTAAAGTTGAATTAATTTTTTTTTAGTTTAAAAATGATTGTATTTTTAAACTAAAAAAATAAATGAAATCCAATAAAGGTGTACAGGAACCTGCTTTTGCTCACTTTAGGATCCTTCGGGGTCTCCCAAATGTGTCAGTACTGGAGAAAGATAATACTTAGAAACCAGGGGAGAGGTGTACCTTTCAGAAAGACGTCTTGTGAGTGATCCTGTTATTTTAAGTAAACGCACTACAGTATTAGAATTCTAGTATTTAATGCTGTTAGCCCGCCTAGTCTGTTGCTGTAATACAGAGCTAAATATCAACAGAACTTGTTTCTGTTGTTTGGGTTGCTTTTATATACCAGCTTCAAAATATGTTTTGACACTTTATTATGTTCTGAATCAAGCTTCAGATGTGTGTAATGAAGGATGAAGTCTTTATCAGGCTCTCGTGTATAAATAATGGAGAAGTGCAGTTTGGAAATGGTCTCTCTGTAAGAGGATGGTTTCTGAAGAGTTTCGAGTTATGATCTGGCACCAGCCAAGCGCCGCTGGAGGTGTAAACAGAACCGAGAGTCCTCTCTGAAGGCGCGGGCTGCTGCTTTTCTCCCCACCTTCTTTTCTCTCTCCTTTTTTCCATCACCGTGTCATTTCTGTAACGTTCTCGTTCCTAGTTTACATGCTGAACCTTTTGAGAAAGTCTGGCACCTCTGATGCACTTTCCCTCACAGACCCTGTAATTTTTGGCTGTATTTTTTATGTTTTTCAGATTCAAGTCAATCTGAAAGTCCCAGCCAGCCAAGTGACGCTGACATTAAGGACCAGCCAGAAAATGGTAAGTTTAGTTTGGGACTCTGGTTGCTGCTTTGAGAGTTCACAGTAGCCAGCAGCCAGCCAAGTACATGGACTTCGAGGTCTGCCCTGTGGGCGGCCCCCAGTAGGAACAACTTTGAGGACTCAAGTTTTCTGGGTCATTCTGGCAGCCCCAGTCCCTTCCCCTCCACCACAAACCCTGGAAGAACCTTAGTTCCCCAGAAAGTTGATCAGTATGAGAGGTGGCGTTGATTAACCAGATCAGAATCTTTTACAGTGTAAGTGAGGAGCCAACGCCTTTTCATTTTAGTTCCTTTTAAGGTGGCAAGTGACCCATGATCTTCTTCACTAGTGACTTAAGGTTATTGATGGTTAAGTATTTGTGAGGTCTTTATCGAAGCCTTTTCGAAGCCTTTGCTAATTGCTTTAAGAAAATGACCTCTGCCTTTGAAGACTTTTCCACGTTAAATTGTCTAAAATAAAAACAGTAAGGGTACATGACAGCATTAAATTCATCAATTGCATAAATGTATAAACTTTCTGTTGTAGAAACTTGATTAACAGAATGCACACTTTACATATGAATATGATAATATCCACTAAAATACTAAATGTGTGGTGCATTCCAACTATGGAAAAGGTTGTCACAGGTTAGAATTTATCATTGACTGAAACCATCAGTTTCAGTAAAAACCAAGACTTGAACCAGCAGTATCCATTATATGCTAAACATCGTATTATGTATTTTCACAGATACCATCTCATAAAATTCCAAAGTGCTCCTTCTTGGTGATAGAACTGAGGACTAATGAGAACTTGACCTTGAGGGACCTTTGAGGGGAATTTGACACTGTGATTAAAAGCTCAGGCTGTCGTGTCAGATCTGCGTTCAAATTCTGCCTCTACTATTTCTTACCGTTACAATTTTGAATAGGTTATTTAACCTCTCAGAGTCTTTATTTGTTCTGCATCTAAGAAGTAGTGTGGTAATACTATTACCTACATGTTGAAGAATTAAGTAAGATAGTATGTACAACATACTTCCCGTGGTATCTTCCATAGACTTTATACTAAAAAAAGTTGGCTGTTGTTCAGTATTCCTTGTATTATTTTTCTAGTCAATGTAATCCCATCATTCTTTGTTTTTCACTTCCTTAGACTGATCTCATTCCTCAGGGCTCTCTTCTTTGTGTTGTTCTTTACATCTTTCCATTTTAATCTCCAGGATCTTTTGGAAGAGATACGTAAACTGAATTATGTTGGTGTTGGAGGGAGAAGGATTGAGTTTACCACGTTAGATATTCCTTTCACTGATTTCTCGGAATTTGTGTCACTTCCCAAGCCTGGGGAATTCTCCATAGCGTTGCTGGCCTCCCTCATTAAATATAGACTCTCTGGCTACCCCTCTCCTCATCCTGGTATTTTGGTGGTATTTTCCTCATCAAAGTTGTTTTTTTTGAATCAGGCATTAAAAAAAGAGAGCGCGCGCGAGAGCGAGAGACCTCTGTAGGCTTGTTTTTAGTGTCAGAAACAGCTACATCTTACTTTTTGTTGACATTTTCAAGAGTGATATTTATAGACTGGTTTCATTCTTTATTTCCCACTTGACTTATAGGTGATGCCTTGTATGTTTCGTTTTTTTTTTTCATACATTGTATTTATGTAAAATCTGCCTGAAGTTGCGTCCAGAGATACTGGTTTTATTCTCACTTTTCAGACCCGGTGGGCTGCCGGGGTACGTGGCTGGCGGGTTTCGGTCTGGCCGGCCCTCTCGCGGGCCTGCGAGTCATCTGTCTTCATAAAATGGCCGACAAGCTGTTCACATGCAAATATAAATTGAGAGCATGAGAGGCCTGGCGTGCCTTCCCGGAGCTGCCTGTAATACCGATCCTGTGCCTTTCCCATTCCAAAACGCAACCAGGATTGAGCCTGGATTTTTCGGCCAAAGGCATGGAAATACTAGCCAAGTTCATTTTTAACCCCAGATTACTCGGTGCTTCCTCAAGGATTCACGGTACTATTTGGGAAGGATCATGTGAATTCAAAGAAGGGAAGTATCAACATCCAGGAGAAAAAGTAATACATTCCTGTGCTTCAAATTTCTGTTTATTTCGGAGGAAAAGAGATAGAAGTTGCTTCATCTTAGACAGTTCCAACTGGAGCTCAGACCAGAGGAACAGCAGCCTATTCGGTTTCCCCTTCCTGTCTTTTGTCCATCTCAGATAAAGTTATCTGAGGAAAAATGATTTTTTTCCCTCTTCCCTAAGGACATAAAATCCCTAAGGGGAAATAAATGAAGATTTCAGGACTAGGTATTGACATGCATTAGATGACTTGCTGGGGTTGTTTGACCAAGAGTATTCTTTCGTTTTCATTGCCCCAGGTTATGGAAGATGAGTTCTTGAAAGGTTCTGGCTTATTTGGTCGTTGTTTCATTTTTGTTTTTAAAGAAGGAACTCTTCTAAATGTATCAACAAAACTTAAGAACTTTGAAATCTTGGTGGATGAAGAAGTGACAGACTCTGGTCCTCAAAATAAAGTGGGAACCCATTATTCCTTCTTTATGTATATATTCGAGGGGAAATAATATTCTTTTTATCCTAGCTCTTGAGGAGCAAGGTAATGGGAAACGAATGGTATTTTCCTAGTAAACCATGGAGAATGAATAGACAAATGGTAACATGCTGTTTCTTCCAAAACCATAAACGAGGCCATGTAACTTTACCTAAAGTGGATGCAGCTGTTTCTTCCCTGTCCAACTAGTCTGGTTTTTTTCTGTGGAATTTTTGCTTTCTTTTCTTGTACTCCCTGAAGACTCAACTGTAAAAGAAAACAAATCTTTGTCCAATTAGAGTATTAGATGGGAATTTTGAAGAAATTATCTGAAGCCCAGAGATAAAATATCAGAATCTCTGCAACTCAAAATTGGTATAACATAATGAGTGATTAAAAACCCTGCCTCTGGAGTCAAACAGACCTGAGTTCAAATGCAGTAATAGCTGGGTGTTAATAACTGGGGAATAAGCGATGGCCCCAGTCTCAGTATTTTATCGGTAAAATAGGAACACTAGAAGAGCCTACCGCACGAGTATGAGAATGAGAATATGCATATGAAACGGCACAATGCCAGGTTCATAGTAAGGACTCAAAGAAAGGGAACCATTGCTACGCTCCAGTTAAAGCTCATGTCTGTAATGAGATATACATATTCAAGAGATTAGAAGCTGGGGAGGCTTGGAGTGGACATCTTTGAGAGCTGTCTACTCTGTTCTGAAATGTTAGACCCCAGTCTCTTCAGTCAGTTCATCAGCCCGACAGTGGCACGTCGGTTTCACTGTTGAGTTCTGTTCTTCACATTCTGTTTACCTCCCAGAAGTTGAGAACTGCAAGTGATTCGGAGATGCTAGCACCTTCAGAATGAATGCTCAAGAAGAAGGTTATTCTGGGAAGAAGGGACTCTACCCAGATATCTTTAGTTTGGGCTGAGGTCTTCCTTGGCAGAAACCAAATAGAACCTGGCTTATTAAAAACTATAAGCTGCTTCAGGATAGGATTTATGACAAATTCCATATGCCTTGAACTTATCTCATATTTATTAAAATTAATAAGCAGATAAATATACTGTCACTAGCCCCAAGTATTTTTTGAGTATTTGCTCACTATTGATTTACCAAGAGGTTTTTAAGGAAAAAAAGCAACCAACCAACCAACCAAACAAACAAACAAAAACCTGGAGAAGCTGAAAATCTGACTTGGGTGTGGGGAAGGTCGTTCACAGACACATGGACATACACAGATATGACTAACAGTGCCAGGAAGCCAAACTCGGGGCTACGCTAATGGCCACAGAAGGTCAAGTTGTACCCCCATGCCTGGCCCATCTCAATGAGCAGGTGTGACATATGAAATACCACCATGTTCGTTTACACTTGGCTATCGTAGGAAATGGAATCCCAACAAAGTTCTCAGCTCTGACTGGTCTCATGCGTTTAATGCTTTTGCATATCACTGAACTCCTTTCTGGCTTTTTAGGAGCTCCTGAAGGCTTTAAGCCTTATTTGTTAGACCTTGGCTTAAGACATCTTCTCAAACCACCTTTGTGAATTTCCAGGAGGTCCTTTGGCTACTTTAAAAGTACTAATGGAGCAAAATATTAGCAATGCCTGCTTGATACTTCCAGGGCCTGTGAACAGTGCTCCCAAGCTTGCATCGTGTGGTGCATCAGGTCAGGCATTAATGAGGGAAGAGCGCGTGTGCTAGCCCTCCTGCTTAATTCAGGGCACACCTCTGGGGGGCCACACAGAGCCAGCGTCTGAGAGCAGAGCACAGTTGAACACGGCACTCTGAAGGCACACTTCCCCCTGGGACTCCCTGTGAATGCACCCTTAACTAGAAAAAGAAAAGAAAATGTGGGGTTCCCTTGCCAGAAAAAGAAAAGCTGTGTTCACATGTTTTTTGTTTGTTTGTTTGTTTGTTTGTTGTTATTTTTCCTGTTTACTGCCTCTCGTCACCTGCGCAGGCTGCTAATAATCATAACCTCATCCGACTGGATTTTAAAATGTGATATTTACAACAGGAAATCAGACGTGGGGTTTAGATTATTTTCTTTAGTTTTAATCATGTTTGCTCTTCCTCATTTATCTGGTTAGTTGCACATATGTTGGTGGCATCGACCCTCAGATGGGCCTTTGCAATCAGTGGAAGGCCATTAATCATGATGCTTGCCCCAGATTTTGAAAATTTGTAGCTCTCCCTGCCAATCTGAAAGTCACCCAGGAGTACTGGTTGAATCTAGCGTTCACGTGCAGCATCTTCATTTATGTTGTTCCCACGTTGCACCAGCAAACCAGGTGTCATTGCTGGATGTTGCTGGATGAGCAAGGAATGCACTTTTCTTCAGTCACAACTGTCAGTATCTCATTAGTTATCAGTGAACACATTTCTGTGAGCATTTTGAATATTTCAGTACTTATGAAATAACTTTCAAGGCTATACTGACTTTCTGACTTAAGATTTATATGT